AATCTACATCTGTCTTCACCCTTCTTTAACTCAAACAAAACAAATGCAAGTCTGACACATTGTAAGAAACTTTATTACAATCAGAACTGGATCATTTGACCCTAGAAAAAATACAAAAGAAAAATGTTAGGAGATATACATGACACATCATTAATCATGGCCCTTTTTCTGCCCTATCAATGTTTCAGAGGGGGGGGGGGGGGGGAAGAAAGGAGGAAAGATAGGTGGTAAGAGGGGAATAGTCTTGGTCAGAATGGAATTTGTGTTTACTTCAGTCAACCAAGACTCTCAAAACCAACAGGCCACCAGTAAACAAGTTAAAATACAGTATGATGTCAAACAGGTTTATAGCTAGATCCCAACAGCATGGAATTATCTTTCTGTTAACACTAATCTGCTGAAGAGAAATTTACAACTTAGATATAATTTTGATGACCACCAGGGAGAATGCTGCATACAACAAATTGCTCCAAAATAACCCACCAAGTGCAAAGTCACTTGAGTGATCGTGGGCCTTTAACCCTTACAAATGAATACAGCCTGCTTTTACCTTTCTCTTCTTGTCTCCACCCAGCTCAAAGTGTTTGCATCTTTTCAGGGCAATTTGTTTCCTGTACTTGCAATCTGTGCACTCCATACGGAGAACAATTTTCTTTGTAGTTTTGGCCTTAAAAATTAGAGAAATAATTTAAAATTCTACCCTGTAATAATCTTATATGAAGTTGTGGTTATCCTGGGTTAAATTTGGTAGTAATCACAAAGGAGCATACAGTGGTGGGGGGTTTCCCTATTAAAAGATTGTCAATGTTCTATTGGAAGCCTAATCACCTTCACATTTGAGTCAAAGGAAAGGTTAGAAAATGTACTACATCTAATCATAAATTAACTAAGACCTGATAAATGGGAATAGACAATGTTTCAATGAGCTTATTAATAAGGAAACAAATTCAATCATATGGAGTTAATCTTCAAAACTAAAAGACTTTTCTCCTTTTTATCTTTCCCCATTTACATTCTAGTTTTATATGCAGAGAATATAGCCAAGATTACTGAGTGTAACTGATATTTATGCCGCCAAAAATATATCAAGAGTCATTTATCTTGAAACATTAAAATTGGCTACTCACACATTTTGAAAATAACTACATGCTAAGATAGTTATGTTTAGTTTGACTTGACTTGAGAAAAAAAACATTTAAAACAAATTGGCCCTTAAAGGTCTACCATATCCTTAAATGTAGCTGTTACAGAAAAAATAATCACAACAAAGCATAATGCTTCAAGGGGTGATATGTAACCTGTCGTGGTCTCAGCCTAAAGGAGGCTTGCGATATGCAATCAAAACATTGCAGTCCACACTGAAAGTGAACCATTGAGACAGAAACAAAAACGCCTAATGATAATGACACATAATTATATAAAATATTTATTTCACTGGTATACAGAGGTGCACAAAAATAACAATTTCCTTGAAATTAGGACAAAAATTTTCGTTCCATACATATTTCATATCAAAACAAAACTTCCATCGATAGAGACCGTAACATTCCACCAGAAATTGAGAGTATTTCAACTAAACAGTTTAAAACTATATCCATTCCATCTGAAAGATCTAATCAGAGTAAGAGTGCATAATGTACCATTGGATAGAAATTTCGACCTAAGGCACACAAGTAAAGCGGGCAGTGGGGTAATAATTGAACATATGATCGTACGGACATGAAATGTCTCTTTTTCTAACCTTTTTGTGGAAAATGGGTTTCGTTTGACCACCATAGCCTGACTGTTTACGATCGTAACGGCGTTTTCCTGAAAGAAACGGCAAAAATACTCAAGAACTGTTCGAACGTTCCCCAAAACTAAGATCGATCACTTTTAAAGACCTTTCGACAAAGCACGAAGAGCAATTCTTTATCAAGATATTTACAGAGACGATGCCACTATCAATAGTTAGTATCAGTTCATCCATAAGTCTTACCCTGAGCGTAAAGACTATCTTTTCCCTTTTTGTACTGGGTCACTTTGTGCAAAGTGTGTCTTCGACAGTTCTTGCCCTTGCAATAAGTGCGGCGCTGTTTTGGCACATTAACCTGAATGCAACGAGAAAATAATGACAGTTTTAATAAAAAAAAATGGAATAAAGAATCCATCTACTCGTCTTAAAGTTTAAAAGACGAAAGATGGCAAGGGATTCAACAGGATTCAAGTACCAAAATATTTTTCCTACCATTTTGCTCGCACGATCGAAAGAGAGAGGAAATACTAGGGTCCAGTTCTCGACATTGCAACGACAGACGCAACATTCCAAAGCGAGGCTACAGAGCCCAGGGTCACTCACACTGCTGTGAAAGATTGAGTTAGAATCATGAGCAAATATAGATTAGGATATCAAAGACTGGTATGGTATGATAAAGAAAACAAAAATGTATTAGGCGAGGAATAAAAAAATC